GAGACCCACACTGAGCACTAAAGCATGGTTCACCACTGGGGCAGCCTTCCTCCCCAAGTTCACTGGTGCTTAGAGGACACTGTACACCACGTGATCACTAAGTCTACTTCCGAGGCCCCACAGAAACTAATTTGAAAACTTTCTGGCGTGGACCAATGTTCCAGATTTATCTTCGGCTTCCCTGTGTCAGTCCTCGAATGAACCATGTCTCTGCAGACTGATTCTTTTGGGAAAGGGTATTTAGAAATCAAGTCTAGGGATTTGGGCAGTTGACACAGTGACACAGCACCTGCTTAGCGTGGTTGAGACCCTGGGTTCCATCTCCATGCCTCTGACATGCACATATGCACAGAGTCACAAACACCTCAATAACTGGCCTTGGTTTCCTCCATTGTTTCTATAAACACAAAGCAAGAATGGTAGCCAGCAGCTCTACCCAGCCCCCTGTGGAGACACCTGTGAAGACCTGTTCTTGTCACATCTGCTCACACCAGCAAAGCTGGATATAGAATTTCAGTGTCAGTGTGTATTGACACTAGTTATGTTAGTGTGCATAGGACAGAAGTTTCATTTAGTTGGGTTACATGATTCATTTGGGGCTTTTAAAAGACAGTCTCACTCTATAGCTCAGGCTAGCCTGGAACTCATAATGCCCTTGCCTCACCCTTCCAGGACTGGAATCATGGGCATGTACCACCACTGCCAGGTTCTAAGTGATCTTTCTCAAATGGCATACTTAAGACATCTATCCACTGAAAGAAATTATCCCAGCTCGAGGTACAGAAAACAAAACTTTAAAACAGAAAAGAAATGAGCAGCTGAGCACTGGTGTCTATTACTAGTAAAGTGCGTTCTGGTCTCATGTGACTGTCCCGAGAGATCTCTGTGTATAGAAACCTAGATTTCTATATATGGACATAGATTTATGTATGTTTATGGCTAACAAGCCCAGTCTGCACCAATATTTGCAATTCGTGGTTCTTTCTTTCTTCCAGACATTTAAAAACAACTGAAATCACATCTGTATGTATTTATTGTGTGTGTGTTGACATGTGTGTGTCCTGGCGTGGGTTCAGGGGTTTAGAGGCAGAGGACAGCTTGCACAAGGGGGCTCTCTCATTCCATCATATGGGTCCCAGGGATCGAACTCAGGTTGTCAACCTTGGCGCCAGGCTTCTGACTTGCTGAGCTACCTCCCAAGCCTTTTTCCTGAAAAGTCTGTCCTTTCGGCAGACCTCGGTGAGAAAAATCCTCAAATTCACAGCAACAGCCCATGCACTCATTCTTAAAAAGGAGAAACAATTCACTCCATTAAGGCTTCTCTCCAAGCGGGGCACAGGAATCCAAATACGTGCTTCCTTATGTCTGCCCAGCCTCCTGTTTTAATATCTGTAAGTTTCTTCTCCAGCAGTGGGGAAACTTGACTGTCATTCTAGTCAGTGTGCATTTTACATAGTTAACCTGTGACGTGTGACAGTGACCTGATGCTGTCTCTGCTGCTTCACCGCACCTGACTGCCAGCACCTCCAGGACCAAAGCTGCCTCCCCACACCTGACTGCCAGCACCCCCAGGACCAAAGCTGCCTCCCCACACCTGACTACCAGCACCTCCAGGACCAAAGCTGCTTCACCACACCTGACTACCAGCACCTCCAGGACCAAAGCTGCCTCACCACACCTGACTGCCAGCACCTCCAAAGCAAGCACACAGCAGCTGCCTCCACACAAGGGAAGAGAGGTGGGGGGGGGCAGGCTCTCCTTATGCACACTGGGAAGTAGTGTGAAGACAGAGCTCTGTACCCCATATCACCATTGTCTCCCCACTTTTTTTTTTAACCTGCTAGTGTTTCCCATGGAAGCACATTACTTTTCTAGACATTTCGTAACTCAAAAAAGCATATAAACTCTCTGCACTTATTGTTTTGTTCAATTTGATTTATCACAGATTAGGTTTCTTAAACTAAATAGGAGTTTTAATATGGATTCTGAAACCTTTGAAACAAAAAGGATGTTGCATGTTTGGAGTGGGTGCCAGACTATGAAGTTCCACAGTGCTATTAGGACCAAATTCTCTCCTAAGAAGTCGGTGAGTCTGAGAACGTTGCATTTAATGAGATCAAGTGTGAGGATGTGTGGAAGCAACAGTGATGGCATCTGGGGGTGATATTGAGCATCACTATGGTGTCCTCCTAAGGACCAGCATAGCTGGTACAGCTGACCCTCTGTATGGGCACATTCCACCAACCACAGGTTCAGTTTTTAAAAATCGTGTCTGTGCCAAACATGTACAGACATTTCCCCCTCACCATTATTCCCAGAACCACACAGTGTAACACTTGTTTACATAGCATTTACATTGCATTAGGCATTGTAAGTAATTGAGAGATGGTTTAAAGCATATGGAGGATGTGTAGGGACACGGGCAAACACTGCACCATTTTATATCATGGAGTGGAGGATCTTCTAGTGTTTACATCAGCAGAGGTCCTGGACCCAGCTGCCATGGATGTCAAGGGACAACTGTACACAGCTTGCTTTCTTGTAGGTTCATTGAAGAGGATGAGGAGGAGGAGGGAGAGGATAAAGAATACATTAAGAAACTCTGTTTATAAACTTACCAAACTTTTCTGATGTTTCCTTATCTGGAAACTGTTGTTGTTCAAGTTTCAATATCTCCAGAGAAACAAAATTTGGCAAAGTGGTGACTAGAAAAGGGAAAATGAAATATAGTTAGTTCAGATACATTCCTGTGACACAGAGGAATACCATTGAAGTAAGAGTGTTTCAAAAGTGGTGAAAAGTGATATAATAATCAGATTGAATTACTATGACTAAGCAGAGGAAACAATTCTGAAAATGAAATGTTTACATTGTAGACAAAGATGCACTTCATTGTTATGAAAGACTCACTGAAGTCAGGTGCTGTCACAGTTTCTGTGACATCAGCAGACTTTTAATTCTAGAGTATTTAATGACTTTTTGCACAGGAGCATCTGAAGTCACAGTTGTAAGCTTATAGTTCTTACCAAATGGCATGGCTTCAAAGCATCGTCCAGAAAACTCAATCTCTCTGAGTTTCTTGCAGGAAGCAAGCACAGTCATGAGAAACTCACAATTCGAAAAGAAATCACATTTCAGGTGGAAAACGTGAAGATTTGGAGAGCTCTGGATGAATTTGACTGGAAAAGATGAAGGATATTCAGAAATTAGAGGTTTCAAATTCCTTTCTGGACTGTCCTCTCAGTCCATAATCTCCAGCCACACCATTAAACAGACAGTGATGCAGTGATCTAGTGCTCAGGCCATGTTGGGCGTGTGCTCAGCTTCTGCCACTGACTGGTGAGCAGAAGACCTTGGGCAGGTTTCTGACCCTCTCTGGATCAGTTTTCTCTTCTCCATATTTCACCTTCAGCATCAGCACCCTGATATCTCTGTGTTTGCACACTGCCCTGGCACAGCAGGAATTCTGTACAGAGTCACATAAAAGAGGGGGCAACTCTGAAGCACAACTTAAAATGTTTTTAAACAATCTGCTGTGTGTGTGTGTGTGTGTGTGTGTGTGTGTGTGTGTGTGTGTACACACAAAAGGACAACTTGGGGGGAATCTGTTCTATCCTTTTGCCATGGGATCCCACAGACCCAACCTGTTATTGGACTTGGCAGCAAGCACCCACTGACCCATCTCATTTGACATAATTTTTCTGTTGTTTGGTTGTTGTTTTTTTTTCCCTGTGGGTAGTGTTGGCCTGGAAATCACCACATAGCTAGGCTGGCTTTGAAGTTGTGATAGTCCTGCGGCAGCCTCCCAAGTGCTGTGATGAGAGGCATGAGTGACTTTTTGACCTGCATGTCAGTCCCAGGTTTGTATTTCTTTAGTCCTCAGTGTTCAGGGTTTAACAAATTAAGGATCTGACAGGGCCTGAGTCATTTTGCTCAATGACATGTTCTAGAAAGATGTCTGCACAGCTGTCCATCAACAGGAGGCTGGGATGGAGAGAAGTGGAGGAAAGGTCCAGGTTGCCCCCAGTCAGATTTCCTCCCTCAGCAGGCAGATCTGCAAGCGCCACTAAAACAACATCAAAAGGAAAGAACTCCACAAACTGCCTTGAGAGGAAGTGTGCTGGGAGTTTAAACCTCAGGCCCTGGAGTCACACCTTCTCTTTTGAAGATACGTTTTCTTAGCTGGATAAACCTGAGCAATCACTGACCTCAGTTTCCCCAGTTGAGAATCAGCAATAATCATTGTGTCTTCTCTCACACAGTGGTCTGAAGAGTGAGTTAGTATTTGTACAGAGCTCAGAACAATTCCAGTCATGTTAGAGACTCGGGGTTACAAATAAATGTCTCCCCTCTTAATGAGGAAGAGTGCTGTTCTCACACCTTCCCATGGACACAGTTTACGCTGTCAGGCTCACAGAAGTTTTAACTAATGATGACTTCATGATTCTAACAATTATTAGCCAAGTAGCTTTTCCAGCTGACACATGACCTGGGAGATCCAAGCGCCATTCTTACCCAGTTTGGAGAGGTCAGACTCTGTGGAAGTTTGGATGGATAACTTCTCCATGTGGTGGAGGTTTGGGAAATCTCCAGGGATGACTGAAAGCACATCTGGAATGCCATCTAGTCCCACAGACAATTCTTTCAGGCTTGAGAACTTGTCCAAGTTAGCGAAGAGTTGATCTGGAAAGCAGCACATAGTTTCCATCACTAGAGTCCCAAGTGGAAGTTCTCAAGTGTGCTGTGATTTTTAGATATTTTCATAACAAAATTCTTCAGAGATCTTTTGAGACAGGGTTTCTCTGTGTAGCTTTGCGCCTTTCCTGGATCTCACTCTGTAGACCAGGCTGGCCTCAAACTCACAAAAATCCACCTGCATCTGCCTTCCAAGTGCTGGGATTAAAGGTGTGTGCCACCACTGCCCCGCCAAGATCTTAACATCTTCTTATGAAGCACATCAATGAAGAACCTGCCATCTGCAGCATCTGCTGCTCGTAGAGCATAGGGGAAGCCCTGTGCTGCTCGCTAGACTCACAAAATAAATAAGACATCTTGTTGGGAGCATAGCATGAACGTCCTGGAGCCCACCGATCTCCAGAGAAACCAGGAATGTTAAGCATGCACGATTGTCTTTCCAATGGGAAAGATGAAAAACCTGTCCTACCACTCTGAAAGCTGAGAATTGGAAGTGATTAACATCCCGGGTGATCTGCCTCATCTGGTGGGCCAGGCCATGTGAAGCTCCTACAACCAAGACTGGAGGTGGCTAGTAATCTAAATGACCCAACAGCCAGAGGCTCCCCCAACCTCCCACAACCAGGACAGGGGTCACTAATATCCCAAATGACCTCTACACTATCTGTATGAACAAGGTCAGGCCAGACCCTCAGTCACTTAAGCTAGTACAGGTAGCCTATCTCCAGAACCCATCTTCTTGGAGGAAATGACATATACCCCAAGTTGAGTTTCAATGTAATGATGCTTCCTCATGCAATGGGGATTGTATTGCACCAGGAAACTTTTTCCTCCCAAATTACACTGGGCTTAAATACCTTGTGAATAAACTGCCTGTTATTAGACTCCCCAAAGTCTGATCCAAGTTGATGGAGTTTTCATTCTTATCTCTTCTGGCGGTTTGCTTCCCTGTATGGAACCTGCAGGGATTCCCACAATATCTCCCCAACCAACAGTGTGGGAACAAAGACTTTTGCACAAGCAAAAGGACCCAGTTGGACTCCTGCTTCCAACTCATAAAAGGCAGCTCAAAGTGAATTAATGACAAATGTAAGAACTAAAACCAACACTGGGGCAGGTGGGAGAGCTGGCCCTGAGGTCATGAAAGCAGGAGAACCAACCCTCTTAGCTCAGGTGTGGGTGAGCCAGCCCCCAAATTATAAACATGGGAGAGCCGTCCCCATCTCTCATCTGGCAGACCAACCCTTAGCTACCCAGGCCCAGACCCAGGGTTATAACTTGGGTTGCCCCAACAT